TCCATCTCCTCAACTGACAAAACACAGATCAACAGATATATAATACACACACACACAGTGGGAGGCTTTGCTTAATGAAGTGAGATTGCTTTGCAAACCTACAAATACCAATAAAGCAGTGACAGTTTCTGTTTGAAAGTCTGCTCATGCAGGCAAACATCTTGCCTTGGATAAATAAACCCGACTGCACCCCTAAAATCCCAGTGACCACAGCTCTTTCTGAGAGCCTAATACTCTAATGCAATGCAATATGCCTTGATCAAATGTCCTTTTCTTTGGATTCAGTAGATTTGAGGGAGCCAGATATTCTTCACACATAACATTTAAACACCACACACACAGATACACAGAAAGGTATTCCAGGGAATGGCAGAAGTCCATGATCTCTTTCCTAACTGAAGGAAAAATGTCTCCTCAAGTTCTGCAGTGGCCTTGCTGTTCTCTATCAAAAGAGTGTCTTGCTTCTCCACCCCAGGAAAATAAAAACACAGACTAAAAAAGACAAGATGTGTCAGAGAGGCAGAAAATAAACCCCAGAGATGCTAAGCAATACTCTATCCTACATGGCAAAGTGCCAGCAGGGGGCCAGGGCAAACAGTAAATTCCTGTCCTTGTTGATTTCCTAAGCAGCATTAGCTTTTTAGAAAACATTTTTAGAATCCAAATTATCTGCTTTCCAAAACATAAAATCTAAGACAAATTGCACTTCCATAAACTAACTTATATCAGTGTATCTAGCCTATATGGGCTCCTATTGATTATTTAAACAGTGGATCTGGGTACATATTGCATAAATGCTGACATCAAAGCTCAACCAATTAAATCAGTATACTGTGATTTGGGGGATTCTACAACTGACAGACAAATTAGGTGTATTAAAGTTCTTTTTGAGCATTAAGTTCCTAAGTTCTTCTCCTTTTTAGAACCACTTAAGTTAATGACTTTGTGCTTCTCTGCTCCACATGGAAAAGCTCTCAGAGACACAGGTAGAAAGTAATTCCTCACACAAAACACTGCTGCCCCTGGCTCAGACTACGTGATCCCTTTAAGGAAGAGGGTGTTGGTTGTGGAGACAGACAGGCAACTATGAAGGAGAAAACCCAGGTTGTTTCCCCTGAATAAAGAGATCTGGGTCAGAAGGAGGCCCAGGGGCTGCCACTGGATGAGCATTGGAGCCAGATCCCCATGTGGAAAAAGCTTTTCACCACCTATCCCAGCCCTGCTGTGAGTCACTTATCAGTAATTACCAGGTCCTGCTCTCAGATGGATGAATGAACACATTTGTGTTGGTAGGAGACAGGTAATTAGCAGCAGCCACACTGGAGATTTATGGAGTCAGTGATTGCAATTTCTCCCCAGGTTAAGGAGCCAAGTGTTTGAAGGCATGGCTTATCTGCCTTGCAGTGCAGAGCTGCTCTGATAAAGGGGCTCCCCAGCTCCCCATGCCCAGTGTGTGCTGGCCACACACCTCCCTCAGCCCCTGCTCCCCAGCACACACAGAGGGGTTTGCCTTTTCTTCTGGCACAGCTTTTGGTTAAACCATGCTCTCCTCCCGTCCTTAAATGATGTAGCCCCTGTGACAAATCAATTTCTGTTAGTCAAAGAGGGAATTACATTTGCTGATGGAATAAAGAGAAGAGCAGATTAAAAGAAAAAGTATCCATAATTTCTTACAGTCAGAGAAGAGATTTCACTGGAGGAGACAGGCATTTCATTCTGTTTGGTCTAGCATTGCACAGAAACCTGGTTTTATCAGCACAAAGTGCTTGACTGTCTCCCCAGGTAGAATTCTAATGTGAAATTACAAATTAAATTCCACTCTTTTTACACCAATAAAGCTCTTGTGACAAGAGATCATTTCAATGTAAAAAAGCCCACAATATTTTTCTTTTTTTTCAAAGGAGTTTGGTGATGGGATCAGCACTAAAATACCAGGTAGCAGTGATGACCGGTGTCACTGACTGCCAACAGCAAAGTCAGCCCCAGCCTAAACAAACCTGAGGTTATTTCTGGAAGCAGGAAGGCAGGTGGGAGTTCCAGTGGCTTGCAAGCACACCACTCAGCCTCTGTGAATGGCTCCCTACAGATGGAGAGACAGCTGAGGAATCAGCTTCCACTCTTCTCTTTTAGCAACATCACATCATTCATAGCAGGGCAACTACCCCACTAATATTCCAGACAACCTAAAGGTCCTGCAGGAAAAACCTTCTCTTGTTGAGCTCTGTGGTTGAACACACAGAACATAAATTTGGTTTGAGTCAAAGATATGACCTTTTCACTCTTAATTCTTATTTCTCCCAATACCTCCCCACAAAGAAATGTAGCTAAGTTCCATCCAAGGTATTGGACTCAAGGGAAACACAAAAGTCAGAGAATGAAAATATGTTTCTACAGATAAACCAGTCCTTCCCTAACTGCATTCAAATGTGTAAATATTTTATAATGCTGACAAACTGTAGTGCTTAGAGCACAGACCAAATTGCCCAGTGAAAAAAAACTCCACTGGATAACACACCAGTGGAAAGAACTCATTTCTTTAGAAAGAAGTTTTCTTAAATACCTACTAAAAAAACTTAAATACCTGCTAAAATAATCTTACAAGGTCTTTTACAAACTTGGCATATTCTGGAACACCAAAATAATTCCCTAACATTTGCTGAAGTTTGGTATTGTGTGTGAAAAGAAATACTAGTAATCATTATTACAGAAAAACAAGATTATTGTGGCATCCATCTTGACTTAGTTTTGACCACAATTAAAGTTCCATATTTTATATGAACTCTTTCCTCTAACAAGTTTTAGGCCCATAAAGAACTGTCTTGTTCTAGGCAAGATAATTCCTAGATATTTTCATATTTATAGATATTTTTATCAGCTATCAATAATAAACAAAAATATTTACCCAGGGGATAAAATAGTAAAATAACAGCTAATATGGCACTGAAAAATAATGGTTTATTTACATAATCCCACCTGACTTTGCTTTCAGCCCTTTTGCCATCCTGAATCCCAGCATAGCAAAGAAATCAGTGTAATGGCGGTGCCTGTATCAACTAGTTGGAGTTATCAAATGTAAAGTTGTTAAACTCAGGACCTGGTAACTCCTGATAAAAAAACTGAGTCAGCTTCTTCTGCCAGTGGGTGCAAAGATGACAGATCCTGGTCCTGCTGCTGGATGAGTACAAATGCTTTCTGACACATTTACCCTTTGTATTCCAGAGAGAAAATGACATGCCTGTTACCCTCCAAACACCAATGGAAAAATCCTGGCTCCCCAAATGGAAAAATCCTGGCACCTCAGCACAAAACACTGATCCTGTGCATGCAGAGGACTAAAATTTGTGGCAGTCGTTTTTCACCACTGTACACAGAACAGCTGTGTGACTCTAACTCTGTAAATGATGCTTGACCTTGGTTTTCCATACAGCAGCTTTAGTCACAAATACAGCAAGACTGTCAGGGAAGAACTTGGAGTTTTTCTGCCTGAATACAGAACATTTGCTGCACAGCTGTCTCTGGCCCACCAGATTAAAAGAAAATCCACCACCAGATGAAAAGAAACCCCAACACCTCTGACATGCTCTGCATTCCCAGCTCTTCCTTCTGTCTGCCCAGCCTCAGCAATGCCAGGATTTGACAGCAGATCATTGCCTGCAACTGAGATGTGCAGAAAATGTGCCCAGCCACAAGCACAAGAGAAGAGAGGGGGCCTTGCTCTGTTCCCAATCTGTGCCTCACAGCACACAGGGACTGACAGGGAGGCTGAAAGAGAATCCCCAGTGAAGATGCTGCCCCTCCAGCCCCACAGGCAGAGTCACAGAGATCAGTGCCAGGAGAAGGCAAGGCCAAGCTCACTGCCACAGGCAGCAAGGAGCAGAGCTATTTAAAGTGTCCTAAATATACTTGCTTGCAGGTGGGAGCTAAAAAAGCTCAACACCCCACCTGAAATTCTGCCCCAGGCCTGCCCTGGCAGAGCTATTGCCCCAGGTTCCCAAGCTGCTGGAACCAGCTGCAGCATTTTCCTGTTGTGGCACGTGTGGTGTGAAAGCAGCATGTGCTGTGCAGAGCTCCTTCTCAAAAACGAAATACTTGACTCTTGAACACAGAAAGAAAGAACCAAACAACACGTAACACTAAACAACACACAGTGTTCTCACTAAAGCATAAACAGCTATAAAATTTTCCAATTGGAGCTTAGTTTTTGGAAGCAATGAAAGTCAATTTATATGCAATATATACTATTATATAGCCTATATCATGTATATAGTAATAATACATGTAATTTATATAATATATATAATTTTGGATCATCCTGTATATCAAACAGTTAACTCTCACCTTAATGACACTTTAACAAGTCAGATACATCTATAAATCCATTCTATACATTTCCCAAATCCAATGTTTGGCTAAAAATTGTTGGCATCTTAGAAGATGCAATTACTAATCACTCAGGCCCAGAATATTAAAAAAGGAATTTAAAAAAAAGTTCAAAAAACTCCAAAATTCTCAGCTGCTTTGCATATAAGGTTGATTGATCTTGATTATGGTAACTTTATCAATGTTGCCATTGTTGTGCCAGAGACAAAAAAGAAACTGCAGGTATGAAGCAAAAGTTATTTACTCCCTCAGTATGCAGATCAAATAAAGGGCCAGGTGGATCAGGCACATTCACTGTCATTTACCAGGAACTGTCCCTTACTCCTGGCACTTAGGCATACACGGGGAATATTTTGATCACACTTAAAATTAATTTGTGCATACATAAACTTCACTCAAAGACAACCCTTAAGCACCAGGTTTTGGAATTAGGACTTGATTATCAAGATAAACATATTTTTAAGATGGGTGCAAATATTTGTGGTTACTGCCCCATATTTCAGGTTTCCACGGATTTCTTACTATCCAAAGAGCTCCAGTAGTGGCCGTGGGGGAGCTGCCCATCCTGGCACAGGCACATTCCCTACCAGCAGCCAGGGAAGCCCCGAGCAGGCACTCACCAGCTCCAGGCACTGCCGGTGCCCGTAGGCAGCCGCGTAGTGCACGGTGTTGTAGCCCTCCTTGTCCTGGATGGAGGGGTTGGCATCGTTCTGGAGAAGGAACTCGAGACACCTGTGGACAATTCACTGGGTAAATGTGGGCTCACACAGTTTAACAGGCTCATCCCTCGCTGCAGCTGGAAGTGGCACTGAACACTGGCAGTGAATCCTGTACTTTGAGCAGCAAATCACTTCTCACCAATAGCTCCTCACATTCACCATGTTTTAAACAGAAAATCCCCATTTGGCTTTGAAGATCAACTTCATGGAAAAGATAATCAACTTAACTCTTGCGGCTACTCTAATTTACAAAATTAATTTTCTGTTACAAAACCTGAAAGCTTCTGTGCACATGACATAAACAGCCTAGAACTGCTACTCCTCACACAAAAACTCAAATATCAAACCATCAGTCTCCAAACATGCACTAGGGCAGGCTGGAGAAAAAAGATTTTATTAAGTTACATTAACATATTCTCTTCATTGGCTTTTTTTTTCAATAATGTTTTTCAAAAGATCCCTTTTGCTCTTTCTAGCTCTTGCCACTTTCTCTTATACCATCAAGATACTGTCATTTTGTTATTAGTACTTCCTTGCCTAGCCTGTAATCTGGAGTGAATGTAAGGCCATTATATAATAAAGGGGATTTAAAAAAAAAAAAACATTAGGCAGGTAGATGAAAATGTTAATCCAAGTGAATGCATTGAGAAAGCCATTAGCTACTTCTTTTTGCAACATACAGACTGTGCTGTGCATGACACTAAAGACACTACGTGACACTAAAGCACATGATATTAAAGAATTATAAAATTACTGAAGCTGTACATCTTCCATTGAAAACAGCAACAAGCACAGAAACAGAAATACCAGGGAATATGTGCACAGAGAAAAGCATGGAGCTTCTTCCTTTATGTTAGCCCTCATTAAAGCCAAGCATTGTTTTAGCAGAGCAAAGAACAAGCAAGAGCAGAGTGTAAGGCTGCAAGCCAAAGCCGTGGCATTCTCCAGGAATGAAGTCCAACTGCATTTGTGACACCAAACTTACAATGCAGCTTCTTTTTCCTTCATCTCAGTGGCTCTTTCAAGTTCTTCAGCATTTTCATGGGAGTTACCTAAAATATTCTTTCTTCTTAGCACAGAGGACAGAAAAATGCAACTTAATTCTCAAAATACCACACCGGTGATTTTGATGGAATCTGCTCCCACCCCCAACCTCCTCTTCAAGGAGCTGACTTCCTCCAGCCAGCTATGAGGATTACACAAGTTGCTGCAGCAATGTTGTGCACTTTTTTCCTTTCCAGAGCAACTCAGGAATACTACACCTTGCTTCCTCCTGCAGTAAGCTGCTAGTTCTCTAGCATTTAGGATTTAGAGCAACTTTAATCACTGATACTAAATCACTGTCTCGAGTCTGCATTAGCTGACTGGCCTCACTTTCTGTCAAATATCTTGGCAACACTGTGTGATCTCAGTCAGGTTCTTCTCCCTGCTCATTAACTACCCACATCCAGAGTTAATGATGAATATTCTTTGGAATGAGATCGCCTGACCTTGCAAGTTTTTTTGACATTCAGCAGGAAAAAAAAAGATTTGCTGACCTATAAAATCATGGTCTGCAAATAGCATTTGATCTATGTAATAAGGCTTCTTCCAGAACATCTCAAACTGAAAAATTTAATGAGAAGACAGCATCACCACATCAGAATCAATTTAGGTTTGGATTGTGAGGACAAATAAAAGCCATATACTTCTTCCAAAGTTCAGGATGTGACTAAAATAAGCTTTTTTTTTTTTAATGAGGAATAAAAGTAGAAACATCCTGAAGTTAACCAAGAGCTTGTTTAAATGCAGGAACCTCACCTACCAAGAACCAAAAACACACACTGAATCATCATTCTCAACCCCCCCAAGTAACACCTCACCCTGGTAAGACAGAATTAGAAACAGGCAGTGGTGAAAGCCTTCCTACAAGCTTACGCTGCTTTTCATGCCAAGCACAGACCTCTGATGACTCTGCCTCCTTCTCCCCAGCACTGTTCAGGTCTGAGGGTGATGGGGAAGGCATTTTTTATATCAGTATTATCACAGAAAATGATGAAGAAGCTCTTGATGTGGCATTCAGAACTCTGCCATAAAGTTAAACCAAACTTCCCCTGGCGTGGCACTGAGGTGGTGTTCTGCTGGCAGAGATGCAGCTGTACTTTCACCAGACCTCACTATACAAGAAAGCAAAAACTAGATCCTTAGTGTCTAGAGACACTGTGAGACAGAAAAACATAGGATGAACCAAAAATAAATACAGGTTGCTAACAATTTTGAAGAGAGAGAACAGGATAATTGAGTCTGGTTTATACAGTGTGTTATAAGGAAAAGATTGGCAGAATGTTCCACTATCTGGGAATTAAAACTGCAGCCAGTAACCACAGCATTTCTAAGTCTTGCAGCTCCTTCTCACAAGAACATCACTGCTTTCTGACACAGCCTATTCCTCAGACATCTCTCTAAAAAGGCAACCTGTTTGGACAGGGTGAGCATTTTTATCTGCTCTGACAGTGGAGTGAGACTGATGGTTAGATCCATCCCACCCTTCCCACCAATCTGTCAAAATGCCAAATGTCTGTCACTGCAGTCTTCCTCAAAAAACCTCTCCTGCTGCTGTCTCTTGCTCTATCCCTTCTGATGGACTTGCAAAGCAAATGCAGAAAATTCTCTGAGCTTAATCTTGTGATGAAACCACAGAGAGGAAAACAGAGGACACAACACTGAGAAAACAGGCTGGCTGCAGAACTGTGTGCTCCTTCAGAGGTAAACCGTGGAGCTGAAATGCCACATTATCTGGGGGCTTGGCTTCCAGGCACAGCAACTCTCTGTGGAGCTATGCACACATCTGAGAGAAATTCCTCTGCTAGTGGGATCATTCTTTTGGCTCAAACAGCAGAGCACCACAAAGAGACTGAAATGATTTAGTGAAACACTCGAGGCAGGAATTGCCCAGAGCTCCCTTACTTTCTGTCCATGTCAGAAGCAGCAGCGTAGTGCAAAGGGGTGCGTCCCCAGTCGTCTGTTTCATTAATATTGGCTCCTGTTGTCACCAGGGTCTCAATGCAGTGGAAATGACAATTTGCAGCTGCATAGTGCAAAGGTGTCCTGGAACATAAGTGGCAATTTGTTACCTCATATTCCAACATGTACTGAGGAGGATAAAGATAAATCTTCATTGCTGCGTTCCTACAGATTTCCATCAGTCAATATCAGCACTTTAATTCATGGAAATTTAACAAAATATTGCATTAACAGGAAGTTCTGGTGCTGCTACAAAGCCTAATAGGACACAGAGCATCAATCTGTGTCTTGCAAGCAGCCCAGTGCCTGTGAGAGCCCCTGCTGTGGCTCTGCAGACACGCTGCCCCTCCCAGCTGGGAGGCAGAGCACAGCACCGTGTCCATCACAGCATCTTGCTCAGCTGGCATGGCAACACCCATAGCAACGCTTTCCGTGGAGGAAAACCCTCTGGGAAGCACATCCAGTGGCAGCTGTCCTGCCATAACAGCTCAGGTACTGTCTTGGACACAACAGCACAAGAATTTAGGCAGTAAGGAAAAAAGAAAAGCTGTGATATTTTTAAAAAGAAAAGCTCAAGAGGGTGGGATAGGTATAATGGATTTAATGAAGCCTGCACCTGTGTGGCTGGCATGAAACTGTAGCAGCAAGGGTTCTGCAGAGAAGGCCAAACTACCTGATTTTGCTGCCATTTTTCATAGAACACATGATTTTCAGTCAGAGGTGGCCTTTCTTCCTTGCCTGATAGAGTCTTTCTTTTTTAAAAGAGCTTTGTAATTCACCTACCTTCCACATTTGTCCTTCTTATTAAAATCTGCTCCACTGCTTTGCAAGAGTTTTATACATTCTACATTACTGGAAAGAGAAGTAAAGAAAACAAAAGGTGAATAAAGCAGAAGCTTACACCTGCATTGTCCCCTGTCCCCCAAAAGGAAAAAGTTACTCTAGTTATTTTTGTATTATTTGCTGTGCAAAAACTATAACTTGAAATTCAATCTAACAGAAAGTGAAGCTCTAAAAAGAAATTATTTTCTTTTTTTTTTCCACTAGAAAACCTCAAACTTCTCTTCTGAAGAAGAAAATAATTAATTTTCCAAAGAGAGCACAGTAAATGTGATCAGTATGTTTGGAAATTTTCAATGGCAGCTGTACTGCAGTGCACCCATTCTGACCTGGTATTTTATAAGGGAACTTTAAAATAAAGTTGTTGCTAGCTTATGAAATGCCAGTCTAATAATGAAGAGGTGACATTTAACGAAATCCACCCCCACTCAGCAGAGCATTCAACAGAAAGCACTTTGCTCAAATCCTGTTTATTTAATGAAATATAATCACAAGAATCACTTGTAGGTGTACTCTACCTAGATATGATTTGTTGACTATTGATGGATTTAAGCCCATCTCCAAGTGCTTTGTTAGCAAAGGGGTGTGGCTGTTATAGTGTCACATCAACACTGCATTTATAAAAGTGGAGGAGAATTTCCCACAGCCTGGCTGTTTCTTCGTCTTGTTTAAAGCCAGGTAATTTTTAATAGAACACAAACCAGCTGCATTCTGAGATCTTTTGTAATTGAAGCAAATAAATGTAGGACTCCAAGCTGGCAAGTGACAAAGTGGTGCAGCACTTTCCAAGACGGCTTGTCTTTCACAGGGGCATCACTTGTGCTCACAATCAGACAAGCAGACCTTTAAAATTCTTTCTCTAGCACCCATGCAACTCCCATTAATGTAATGGCAGTAAGAGGCCTGTGTCAGGAAATACACCAATGGCTTCTGTAGATCTCCAGCTACAGAAAAAAAAGGGACTGGCTGCAATAATGCAATATTTTGGTGTAGGTCAATCCCAACTCTAAATTGTTGTTGCATAAAATAACTATGGAACACTCACCACAATGACCTAAAAATACAAACACTTGCTAGTGATGACAATCATAATAAACCACTGGGAAAATATGGTTTATTTTCATGAGTCACTTTTGCTTCTTATTGAAGCCTCTCCTTCTCTTTATGACTTCCAGGATGTTTTTAGTATCCTTCTGGGGTGCAGCCTTATCAATGAGGTAGCATCTGAACTATATTAAAATAATCTCCATCCAAGTAACTGTCATACCTCTTACATGAAAGTGAAAGAAGTATCAAGAGGAATAATACCAAAACAATAATAAACCAATATTTGGATGAATTTTATTAGGGTTTGGGGTTTTTTCCCCCTCAGGAACAAAAATTTTGCAATACAGATTTTGGTCCTCTGAGAAGAAAAAGCAACTTCCAGAATGACTGCCAAGTATTTGCTGTGGATGAGCATTTCTGCTTGTTATAACCACAGAGAAGCCAATGTAGCCAAGGCTCCATTTCAGCAGTCTTCTGAGCCATAAAGTACTCAAACAGAAAAGTCAAAACTCAATGCTTGCCAAACTTGGTGTCCTTTTGCTAGATTAACCTCTCAACACTTCACTGACTGGATTATCTGGAAATATTTAAAATAACTGAATGCTACATTTACATCTTAAGTTGAAGCATTTCAATTTCCACTTCAATTTCACTTTTCTGCCCTCCCACCACTTTTCAGGAACGCATCACCCCAAGAGAGGGGAAGCCTTCTCACTTTCTAATTTGGAGGCTGTGGGTTTGGTTTTGGTTTTTTTTTGTTGTTGCTTTGGTTCATTGGTTTTTCTTTTAGAAACTTATTGCACCTGAAAAATGGGAGAGAGGGAGATGAACTACATTTGGACTCCAAGGCTGCAACCTGATGGGCACTGCTGCAAAGCTGCATTTTTGGACAAGGACAAGGTCCAGAGATGGAGGCCAGGAGTAACTCCCCTGCCAGCAGCATGCCAGGAGCTCCAGCTCCTGCTCCTCACTGGGTGTTCCCTAGGGAATGATGCTTTTCTGGAGACTGTTGTGGCTCTCAGGGAGGCCCGAAAGCTGAAACAGCCTTCTCAGGGGCATGAAAAGGAAGAGTTTTCCCCTCTGCCTGAAACGCATGCTTCAAATCAACCCAGCTCACCCTACACAAGGGCAGGGGCAAATGTGAGCCTAAAATGACGCAAACTATGGCATCAGACAGCCTTGCACAGCAATGAATTCCTCTGTGGATAGCACAGCCAAGCTGGCTGGCCCCAGATGTGCCCCAGGATGCTCTGGAGCAGCCCCGGTGCAGTACTCACCCTCCGGCAGCGGCCGCGTGCAGGCACGTTCTCCCGAAGCTGTCGGGGGTGTCTATGTCAAAGCCTGCAGACAGCACGTGCTCATTACTAAACAAGGACACTATGCTATACTTTTGTCCTAGTTAAACCACAGGAAACATCGCAGAGACAGAAAAATCAGTTAGTTGGGAAGAAAGCAGAAGGCAAGGCGCAGTCAGAGAGGCTGGCACGGGGACGGCGAGCGGCTGCTGGCACCGGCAGCGCTATAAAAGGAGCTGTGACAGGAGCCCATTTCCACATCCAGCTCCTCCACACCCCTGTCTGCAGCCTGGGATGGGTGTTTGGGAGGCTGAGACAGCAGGACAGGAAGACAGAGAACATGGGGACATGAGGAAGAACCACAGAGTCAGCCTAAACATGAACTGGGGCTGTTTTCACGGCACGTGGTTGTCAGATTGGGAAGAGCCTTCCAGCAGCACGTGAGGATATTCATCAAGATGCACGAGGCCAAAGGCTGCAGCCTGACAGTGCTAACTCTGCCCACCCAGAGTGCTTTCTCTTCCCATCTAGTGGTCAAGGCCAGAGCACACCAAGTCTCAATATAATGGGGTATGTAATTATCATTTTTCACATTTCTTTTATACCCTACAGGACTCGAGTTAAAGGGGAAAAGTAGTTGTAGGACATTTTACATGATAAGTAATGAAGGAGTTTTCTAAAAAACTCATATGATCTGAGTCAGGATTTTTTAACTCATAGGAACTCTTGCCTGGAAAAAGCAGAATCTGGGATTTGGCCACTGATTACTGAGTCTCTTGAAATGGATTCATAAGCAAGCTCTGGCTGCTTCTGCTTTGGGCTCTGGTGAGGATCCCAAGCCTCTTCTCTTGACACTACACTTCCACCCATTTTCCCTCTCATACCCCCAGAGCTTTGGCCAGCCTAAGTCCTTCACTACAGATTCAGATACACACTTTAGCTGCATGCAAAATACATCATCACCATCAGTGAGATGTAAATCCCTGTGCCAGTGCAGACCCCAAGGAGATAATTTCAGAATTACTCCTTTGGTGGGCAAGGGGGAGAATCCCCAACGCAAAACAGGATCTCGCATTCCTGCAGTTTGGAAAGGGGTTCTAAATTCCCTCCCTCCCCAGAGTCTAAACTCTCTGAATCTGCTGGGAGAAAAGAGCTTTGGGCATGAACAACACAGGAATTACCAGCATGGCTTTGGGAAAGCCTTGCATGCTCTGGTGCACTGCCCCACACAGCCCAACACAGCAGCACTTTCATTAGAATAATTCACAACAAAGCATGGAAAAGGGCTGCAAGCAGCAGAGACAAACACTGCTGGAGTTCCAGGGACACTGGGGGATTTACTCACCCGATGACAACAATTTCCTGCAGCAGTCTGAATGGGCATTCAGTGCTGCTAAGTGTAAAGGGAACATGTTGTGGATCCCACACCTGAAAGGGACAACAGCCTTGTGAGAAAACGCAGGTTACATACACACACAGCACATCAAAAGCTCCTTCCAGAAAGGCAACATTTTCTCATGCTTTTCTAGGAAGATTCTTTCTTGGTGGCTGCCATTATTTTTATCTGTAGTTCCTTAACAGCCTTCTTGAGAGTTAAAAATATTCTGATGCAGCGAATCAGAATCTTGGCATTTTGCTTTGAACAGAATGTGGCAGGATGGTTTGCAAAAATTCCAGGCGAAGCCAAGGTAGGGGAGGAAGTAAGAGAGCAGATACTGCTTGGAGTCAATTGCCCAGTGAGCCACAAATTTCTGCACAAATTGCCCAGTGAGCCACAAATTTCTACACACACAACTGCCATTTTGAGGGAAATGTAAATGCCAAAATCTTCTCTATATTATTTCTGAATCTCTTTTTTTTCCTTGCAGATGACTCTTTACACTTTCCTTTAGGCTCCCATATCAGTTTTCTTCCACAGCCTAAGAACTAATAATCTAATTTTCCTACTTGCTCCAGCTACTTTCCTCACCTCCCCTTTCACTTTTTCCTCCCTCTTTTCAATCACACAATAAACTTTCAGAGCAGACGTGATGGGTAAGAAAAGAAAGGGCGCCTTTAGATTGAGCCTGTTTATCAGCAGTCTAATTCCATATCAGGCAAACATGGAGTTTTTAAACAAGCTGAGCACTCAGCAACTTTAATTAATATCAGGAAATCATGCCAGTTCAGTCCCTAGGCATACCACTGCTCACTGTCTTAGAATACTTTTGGGTCTGGACATCTTGGTGTCTTTCATTCAGCATTGTTTTGTGCAAAGCATCTTGTTATTCTAGATATATTATCCTGCTGGCAGTTCTCCAAGTGCACATAAACATGGAGCCTCTGAAAACAACTAGCTTGACAAGATTATCATCTACTGTCTGCTCCAGCAGATTTTTTTTTTAAATTACAAACTCCAGAACAATAGCAGATGGATTCCTATCAGTCCTTCACTTCTGCAAGACAATTGGTGGATGGGAGAATACGATCATCTCATGGGAGAAGACCTCAGATACAGACCCAAAGACAAAAGATTTTGTCTTTCTAGACACCATAAATCAGAATTACTTAGGAAACTTAAGACAATAATTAATGTGGATGTTTATAAATATATTGTGCTCTCTCCACGATTTTATGCATTAATGTATTTAACTTATTTGGGTTTGTTTTTGAAAAATTTATTATTTCCTGAATCCACAGGCCCATTCTTTCTCTGTCTTCACATGTCCTCCTTGCTGCTTCACTACACTGACTTGTGCTGCTGTACAAATTTGAATTTTGCTATTAGCAGCATCTATATCTTAGAATAAATCTATTAAGAGATGATCTGACAGCCTGTTCTTTGAAGAAAACATCGCAAGCTGCACTGAGCTGCTGCATCTGTACAAACAGTCTGCATTTTCTAGCCATGGATTCACTTATTTAAGGGAACATTGGACATTCCATATTGCTGTTTCTCCTTACACCCATTTCCCTCTGCCTCCACCTCCCCCTAGTTATCTAACACAATATTATTCATCTTTTTGGTCAAGATTTCCACCCAGCAGATGTTTTTGGCTGGTCTCCACTGAAATCCACTATCTGCACATTTGCTACCCAGTGTGCCATTTCTGCAGTGCTGTTCACACTGGTTCCTCCCATCACTTGCACACTTTCCCTTGCAGTGCATTGCCTCAAAGCCTGGCCGAGCTGCCTGCACTTATTGCGAACAGTGCTGCAGAATTTTCTTTCCTAAACCTATTTGGGGAGCTCACCCAGAATTATTTACATGCAGCACATATTGAAAGCACATTTAGCACAGGCAGTAGCATCATTTCCATCTGCCTGCTATCTCTGAGCCAACTTCTTATTTCACTTATTTCTGCTGCTGGAAAAAGTATTTTATTTGATCAATGTTCCAGTTACCCAACTGTGAAATAGAAATTTCTAACTGGATAACCCTGATTCCAAGAGTGGAGTGGGCTATCCCAGTGCATCTCATTTTCCCCTAAAACCTCAAGATAATAGACAGTGACTGACTGTACTGGAGAAAGAGAGAGGAAAAACCTACACTTCTGTTAAGATACCAAGACCTTCATGCTGGCTATATTAATAAAACCCAGTGACACTAGCTGAAACCTAATGTGGAATTGCATTATCCAAGCCAATTGAAGATCTGTTCCACCTTCTGAGTTTGTAGGGTGACAGTTGTACTTAGCAAAGAAGAATGGGCAAATGTGTCACTTGCATGAACACCACCAAGCAAATAAACAAAATACTGAGAGCTGCAATTCTCTCCCAAATTCAAACCAGACATTTTCATTTGAAAGCAGGGTTTCCTAACTAGGTAAGTCAAAAGAAGTCCCTGATTTCTATGGTATGTTCTATGTGAAAGAAAAATTTTATTTTGGAGACATGTGAAGGTAATTTGCAAAACCTTAGATTCACGAAATCAAGATGCTGCTCTGAAACACCTGGTACAGATATCCCTCATGGCACTGCATTACCCTAATCTCCTACCCCTGTGTTTATACTCCTTTTAACAGACCCTAGGAACTTGAGCATAACTAGACAATACTCAAAAATCCTCTCTGTGTATATATATATACACACACACATCCCCTCTTCATGTACATTACCACCACTGTCCCACATCAATGCTTCAGGGGGAAGAAGCAGTGCTTGTACAACTTGTAATCACACAAGTGGGCACAACAGGAACTGAGCAGAGTTTGCTGCCCTCCACACTTCCCAATCGTTCATATTTTAGTCTCATGTCACCCAGAAGTACAGTGCAATTATGCTTGTCAGTTTTAACCTCCCCACATCAGAAGCAGTTGTGTTTCCAGGCACTGGACACGACACTTGATCCTTGCAAACAGCTCCACTTGAGGCACCTACTTGGCAGTATCGGCTCCGCTGGTTATGAGGGTGTTGATCAAAAGCTCGTGTCCGTATCTTGCAGCCACGTGCAGAGGGGTGTTACCATCCTTATCTACACAGTCAATTTCCCCTCCTGCAGAAGAGATTTTCATACAGATTAACACTGAAAAAGTCACCGTGAATAAGGGACCACAAGTGCTGTTTGTCTCAGCACCATTAGCAGCCCTGAGCTGCTCTCTTAGCCACTGAGAGGAGGCACTGAATTTCCCAGAGCAAGGACCAGCACACAGCAAGCTCTCAGCTGTCAGCCATGGTCTGGCAGCAGCACCTGCACCTCCCTCTCCACCTGCAGTGGTGGCAATGGGATGATGTACAGGGGTCAAGTACGTGATTGCGATTTGTTGCCTAGCTAAAGGTACAAATGGGTGTCCTGAAATAAACTACAAAATAATCTGCTGAAACTGCACCCTCATTTGTAAAGGCATTGCCACTCAGCCTTATCTGTACAACAATGTAAATTAGAGTTCGCTCCGGAGGCCATCAGGAACACACTGCAAACAAATGTGCTGCGTGCTTTTTGTGTGTCTTACCAAAGCATAACCAAACAGTGCTTATGTAGAACTTTTCCTTTTGCAATTTAAACCTGGCATCTTATGTTTTATTCACATAAGCAGGAAAAATGGATTCTTTCTTTAGATAGATTACAGACAAGTCCCTGTTTTCTTTTTGGACCAAGAACTGTAACTTTCTCAGTCTCTCCTTGCCAGTCAGGTTTACTGCACTCCAACTATTCTCTCTTTCCCCCAGTCCTCTCCAGCTGGCCTGCATCCTTGTGGAAGCAAAAGCCAAAACCAGTACTACAGCTAACTCTCCCAATGCTGAGCTAAGCAAACAGGATTACTTCATGCCTGCTGGCCACACTCCTATCTGTGCACTCCTGGACATTGCACAGCACCATGGACATCCATTACCCACTTCTTTAAGCACCACAGCACTGCTGACTTGTGGCCAACAAGCTCCTGATCCTCTACAAGCCCCAGATCCCTTCTGGAGGGACTGCCACCCACCTGGCTGTTGCCATTCTGAACTTGTCCAGCTGATACTCCTGCCTCTGTGGGTGATTTTTCTTTTGCTTCACTTGCATTATAACCTCTGTCTCCAGTTCTACAGATCATTTTTCATTCTGACTCCACCTTCTGCCAGACAGTCTCTCCCAACCACAATTTTCTTCTCCAAATGTTAAAAGCACATTTCTATTCCATTATCCAAGCATTTAATGAAAATACTGGATAGTTCCAGACCCAGAAGGGAAACTGAAACTCCCTCACTACACCTTCCATTTCAACAACAATTCATTTATTACTAATCTCTGAGCGTAGTTTTACAACCAGTTATGCACTAGTGCTGCAGTATTTTAATACTCTGCTGGTTTGCAGTGAGAATGGTTCCTGAAAGCGTGTCAGAAGTCTTGCTAACACCAGGATATGGTAATATTTACTGCATGTCCACTATTCACAGGTGGTAACAGGGCTTAATTGCAACAGGAAGAGCTCTAGTAAAGCACTAGACAACATGCCCTGAGAATCTGTGGACACCCCATTCCTGGAAGTGTTCAAGGACAGGCTTGAATGAGGCTGTGAGAAACCGGATCTAGTACAAGGCATGCCCTCCCCATGGCAGACAGGCTACACCTAGATGTAGGTTTCTTCCAAACTTTCTAATTTCTAATTTTTTAATGGTGAATGAAGGTCAGTGAAACACTTGAACAGGGTCCCTGGGGTAGAGCATCCACCAGTGGAGGTCTCCACAACCAGAAACATGGAAAAGTCAGAAACTGTGCTGTGTTTACAAAGCCTATTAAACAGCTGTAGAAAAGAACTGTGATGTTCCAGCTTCCTTTACTCCTGAGAAATCTACACAAGATATTGCCCACTTTGGCTGACCTATGTAACATTCCCCAGCTTTCTTTTTCCTCATTTTTAAAGAAAGGTATCACACTTGCAGTTTTCCAATTTTAAGGTAATCCATTCTTCCTCTACAAGCTGCTAGAGACAGCAACCAGAAATTGAGACACAGTTAGCCAACTCATTAAGTACTGCAGAATGAAACTCTATTGCTTTAAATAATTCACATTTCTCTCTTCCCCAAGATCCCATGGCAATGAGGTATAAAGTCACTTGCAATGAGATCTGTGTACGACACTAAAATTAGAGGGGCAGAAAACCAAGAAAAGAAAGAAAGAAGTGAAACCCAAGTAAGTGGAAGAAGAGTACAGAGGCATGAGGGGCAGATGAAGAACTGCCAGTCCTTTCACACAGAAATCCAACAGCGAGCAAACAATGGCTCTAAGCCTGAGCCCATTAGATCAAACAACTAAAAATTGCAGTAAAGCACAGTTTCTTGCATTTTGCCCCTACCCCCTTTTATTATTACTTTTTTTTAATCCCAGGAGAGAGATAACAATTTGCATGATGACCTGAAAGAATCATGATCTACTGGAGACCTCCATTTAAAAACACAATCTTGTTTAAATGTGTCATTACATTTAAAGAACAATTGTTCAACTACTTCCAACATTTCACACTTCAATTCCAAGTTGGGATTTTTGGGGGGAAAAAACCAACAAAAACAACCAAGAAAACAGCCAGTGAACAAAGCCCAGACCATCCTGTCTCAGGTATTAGCCCAACCTGGGAAGCTTAAGTAAAGAATCAGTAACAGCAACCTCTGTCATTCAGAAACAGGCCTCTGCCAGATCTCCAACAAGAACAATTGCTATATTCTATAGTATTCTTGGACAAAAAAAGATGCCTGAAAAATGACTGATAATCAGGAATCCTGGCTATGCCAGAGCAAACAAGGTAGCACTGCTCCTCCCTGCTGAGTACATATTCAACACTTCATGGAGACAGTGGCAAGGGATGAGAAAAGCACAGCTGCTGAGTGCAGAGTAGAGAAAATGGTTTGAGCTCTTAAGAACACCAGGGCTCCCAAAGGAGGACAACTAGAAAATTGTGCATCCTTCTCAGCAGAAAAAAGACCTGAATACACCTCTGAACTCTTGCTTTCAGGTTAAGAATCTCAGTAGATCATCTGGACCACTGTCAGCTGGAAGATTATGGAATTTTGTCAGCAACCAAAATCTCGGGTTGCAATGACGTGATGGAATGAGAGCTGTCAGTTCAGCTCAAAGGCAGAAGTTCATGGAGCTGCCCTCTGGGCCAGAACAACTGAAGACTGCATCAGTGGACACGCCTGATGTCTTGGAGAGCCGCTCCAGGGGCTGACAGGGACTCACCGTTCTGGATGAGCGTCTGCGAGCGCGTGAACCTCCCATGGACAGCTGTCATGTGCAGGGGGCTCTTCCCATCCTTACTCTGCCAGGAATGAAACACAGCACTGCTTTAGCACGTGCAGGCTTATGAAAGCAAAGATACAGTGAGTACACAGCAATGTTTTGGGTTTTACAGAAAGAAACTGAGACCAGGAAAGCCGAACAATGAGAAAATAGATGGGAGCGGTACCGGCCTCCCCTCACATCACTTATGTTTATTGGCATGGTTTATTGGCACCTTCATTGGCAAGCACAATCCCTAACTTCTTCTTAATAATTTTGAGTTTAAACAGTGCACTGGCTATTCACTGATCTTACAGGGTGTTAAATGCTGGAAGTTAAATGCCAGCTTCATAGATGGGAAACTGAAATTCAAAAAATTTTAACAAAAGTAGTCAAAATCTTGTATGAACTCAGAAGACCTCCAGTTTTGTAATACTTATACCAGTACCCTCTGTTGGATAACTGCAAGTTCCTTTCACCTTCATTGAGATGTGTAAGTTGTGCCTTCAAGAATATTCAGATATCCTAAGCAGAATCAAAGTTTGTAAGCTGGGGCTCTAAAGTAGGTAACAAGCAACCCTGGAAAGGGAACTTTTTGGAGTCAGGTTTAATTAAATTTATATTATACAGGGAAGAAAAACACTAAAAAGGAATAGTTCTTTGACTTAGCACCATTCCCTGAGATAACATTTTGACAGAGCTCTTGGGACTGTATTTTAGTACTTTTTTGTGCCTTCATGAAAGTGATTGTCCTAGAGTTTAGAGTTCTCATTGTTATCAAGGCACTGCAAGCTCCCCTGCTGGGATGTAATATCACCCAAACAGTTTCATGATCAACATTCTCAGCATCATTCCAATTCCATCAAGGATTTAGAGCCATGCTGTAGCTGTTGTTACAATTTCCTCCTGAGATATGCAAAATAGGCTAAAGTAAAACTGTAAAGCTGGTATTTAAGTTTTTACCTGAATATTAACATCTGCCCCATTATTCACTAGCAGTTCAAGACACAGTGCTCCATGAGTGGAGGCAGCAGCAAAATGCAAGGGGGTGAATCCATTGTTATTAGGCTGATTTACATTAGCACCATAGTCAATCAGCTCATTAACAACAGAGTCCTGACCGTTGTAACAGGCAATGTGAAGTGCAGTATTTCCATAGATGTTCATCTCATCAATCTAAAATGAGACAAGGAGACAAAGTTAAAATTACAGAGATCAGCTTAGCGTTTATGTAATGCATCACACGCTGCAAATGGAAATAGCTGGAGGCCTGAACTGTCATAGGGCATAGCTCTCACCAGCACATTTCATCGACAAACTACACTCCCAGACAGCTTCCCTTGGAATGCTTTACCTTTCCTATTATTAACTTTTTATCCTGCTGACAATTTCTAAAACCAGTGTGAAGCTTAAAGCTGATAGCAGGACTATGTAATGACGATATTGATGACAAAATTCCTAACAAGCTGGAAAGATTTTCCATGTAAGTGGAAAAGCAGGATGAATCAAAAGCTTACAATCTTTATATTTAAAAAGATTACAACAGCGACTATTGAGTTTTTGTGAACAGAACCAGGCATAATGGCTGTTTCATTTTGGATAGGGAGTGGGGGTATCTGAGTGAAAACAATGTGAAAGTGCACAGATATTTACACTTCAATGAGAAACCACTTTCAGTAGCTCAGTATTATAAAGATGTAATTAAGATTATGTTACTTCTTGATGACCAGCTTAGTATTCAACTGCTGTTCTGTAAAACAGGACAAGAGAGATTGCACAAAAGACTCGGGAATGGCATGAACAGCCTTCCATGAAACACAGGCGTCTCTAAGATCATATCCCCAGTGGTGGAGAACGTGGAACTTAATGGGACTAATTAGCATGGCACTGTTGATAACAGGAAACAGCTATTCCCCTTCGCAGCCAACAGCCTGTGAACATGAACTTCTGATAATTTTCTGGCAGGTCAAGTCAGCTGAAAATACCATGGCAAAAGCAATGTCTTTATTATGATTAACTGTCTGATCAGGCTCCTCTGGTCATCTCACCACTGCTTTGAGGAATTGGCAATAACAAGAAGTCTGTGCCCTGAAAACCAAAAGTTATTTTCCAGAGTGAAAACAATCTATCAGCTACAGAGGAAATACAGGTCTGTAAACTGAAACAGCCTGAGCTGCTGTTTAGTAAAGTACTCAGTGTATACATTGAGAACAACCATTTATTGTATCAAAGGAAATGCTGACCCAAGGAAAATTTCAATACTCCATCTTCTTCTGCAGGAACAGGATATATCTCCTGATTCTTTCAGCAAGGTGGCCTGCAATTTACTGTCCTTATCAGCCTTTCTTTAATACAGAATATCTCCAGACTCTTGAACCAATAAACCACATGAAGAATGAGGTGGTCTGGAAAATGGGACCTCTTTTCTTTAGAAGTCCCTGTCTTTAGCAGCATCCATAAGAAAGAGGACAAGACTATCTCTAAATAGAAATAAAGTGCACATTACCACATACCTCCACCCCCAGGTTAAGGAGTTGTTTCACAATGTTAATCTGCCCATTGGATGCAGCTGCATGAAGTGGGGTGTAACCCTTCTTGTCTTTACAAGTCACTTCTGCACCATGATTAATCAGTAAGGCAACAACTTCCAGGTGACCTTCAAAAGATAAAAGACAGTAATCAATGAATAGACCATCCCACAGCATCACTTCTCCCAGATTGCTGCTTTATTGTTAACACACTGCCCTTTCACTGCTGTTTCAAAGTGCTCCCACAGTTTTACAGCTGCTGGAAGGAAGAAAAAGCATTTTTATAAATGTTTCTAATCCTAGCTCCAGGCCTTGTGAAGAAATCCATGCATTCACCTTCTCCAAATGTGTCAAATTTCTCTTTACTGAATTGATTTTCCAGTTGCCAAAAGAACAAAACCACACCTCTTTTCCATTTATTTCTCTCAAGCTAACAGTGTGTTTTATTCTCCCTTTTACAGAGAAAGTGATACAGTGAGCACAGGAGCATGGCAATGCAAGTCTCCCAAAACAGCATCCTATTGATGTCACCTGCAAACACAACTGCTAACACTACTTGGGTTTTGTTAGAGATAAAAAATAACCTTAATAAATTATAAAATTAAAAGGGAGACTCTTATTGCTTCATGCTGAGACAGAACTGTCTGCCTTAGAATTAAACATTTATTACGTCAAACACCACACAAAGTTGTGCTCCATCGGGGTTGCACAGCACTTTCATGACAAGGGCAGCTCTGTCATGTGCAGGACCTAGGAAACCATATGTACAAAGTCTATAGATAATGAGTGTCCCAAAATAATTAAATATACCAGAAACTCTGTGAGGGTTTATTTACAGCTCTCATCGAATTATCTAACTTCTGTCTAAAATGCACTACAGACTCCATTGCTAATTTAGGCCTTAGATGTTATCTAAACACTTTTAAAAGTGCATCATGAATTTCTGAAAACATTTAAATGGAAAAGAGGCGTGGAATTGCACAGCACAATGTAAGAGCCTTTCAAATCCAGAGAGTGAAGTTCAAAGCTCGTTAGCTCAAAAGCCACATCAGAGTTGTTGGCAAGAGCCTTTCCATCTGTGTCTGTGTATATCAAAAAACCACACAATATGCTTTTCTCACAGTTGGAAATCTCCTATTATCTCATTCCTAAAAGTGCCAGGATTAAAATAAAGATTTCTGACATGTCAAATAAAGAGTTCCTGGCTGAGGGTGCACAGCTCCCCACCAACTGCAACCTGAAATATACAGCTTGGCCAACAAAAGCTCTTGAACAAGCAGGACCACTATCACAGATGATCTTGTATTTTAAAATTATAATGTCCCAATGTAAGAAATTTGCCTTTAGCTTGAAAAGAATGATAAGGCAAACTGTTTGAATTAAGCAGCACTTGATAACACCACTTATTTTTTGGGGAGATATTCAGTTGCTCTTGTCCACTCTGGAATAAAAGGTGACAATATTCTCCTAACAGGAAGAAAGTGTCTATTGTGCATTTCCTAAGAATATCATTACCTAGCTGCTTATACACTGCAATAAACCACTAAATTTTTGATCACACTTGCCTGCATTTCACTGAAAGTACTTTTTAGTAAAAACTGAAATAAATATAACCTGGGTTTTTTTTCTAGCACAAATATAGCTCAGGTTTGACTTAGAGTCGGGATAAGAAGACCAAAATGAAAAAGCAACACAAAAACCCCACAATTAACTGTCTTAAAAAGGAAATCACAGCCAAGATCTTCCTAGCTGCAAACCCATAAATGGACAGTGTTTATTTAGATCAGCTGAACCCTTCCCTCTTCAGGGTAATTACAACACTCCTTTTCAATGGCCAGGTCTGCTCCAGTCCATTTTAAGACATGCAACCCATTTGTAAATAGGAAATGAAAAAGGAGGAGCAGCAGCCCAAGCCTTACCCATGTACGCTGCCCAGTGAAGAGCTCTTCTGTCCTTTTTGTCAAAAGCATTGATGTTTGCCCCCTTGGCCAAGAGCAAGTTCACCATCTAAAAGTAACAACAGAAGATAAATCAACCCTCAGACCAGACTTGAAGATTTATAACAAATCAATCTTGCAATAAAGCTGGTATCACAAAATGGTACATCTGAATGATCATTTCTGATGTTCTCTATTAAAAAAAAAATCAGATTAGGACAGTTAGATACAGGAATTACTGTCTCTTTCCTACAGTCCAGTGTTTTAAAGGACAAACACTGTCACCATCTTACAGGACCTACCATTCCTCTTTCTTCTTTTAATTACCGTACTCATCAACTCATCAACTTTTGTTGACAGAAGCTTACTGTTCCAGTCTAAGAGTTTTTATTCCCTACCTAGATCTTCAGGTGCAGAATGGGAAAATGAGGACCCTTAAACCCAGATCTAAAGACTAGCAAAACTTAGGAGGCAAAAATCTAGGGGCTTTATTTACGTAAGCTTTTTCATACCATTAAATAATACTAGGAAGGTTTGCCTGTATAAGTAGGGAAAAACAGAAGCACATTTTCTAGAAGACCAATTAGAAAAGCAGAGTGACTGGACCTTGGACAGTTGCATGTCTCTTCAGTATGAAATCAATCCACCAGTTTTCCCTTCTTTCCATTCTGCCACTCTTATTTTCACAGGCACTCCAGCCCCAAAGAAGCCAGGAGACCCTGGAGCTGCTGGAAGCAGTGGCACAGCCATCTCTCCATCTCTCCAGGAGTGCATGCACATCTGACTCACACCCTGGTTCTACACAGCCACTGCTGTGTTCCTGCAGGTAGGAAACCCATCCTGCAGTTTGGGAAGCAGCCAAGTGACAGCAACCCCAGGGCTCAGGGACACAGGGCTCTGTCTAGACCCAGCCACAGCAGGTGTAGACTGAGCACTAGAGTTGAGTCTAGACTAGTACTAGACTAGAGTCTTGTAGGGGGATACAATGTAAGAAAATAAAGACAGTGCAGAAGGTAGCCTCACACCTGAGGGGTTGCAGCTGTACCAATCACCAAAGATTAGGAACAGGCCTGCCCTTAACAGGCCACAGCTGTGTCCCGTGAGGATGAGTGCTATAAAAGAGTGGGTTAGCTGGTTGAGAAGCAAGCTGGAGTTTGTTGGCTGTGCTGTGAAGAAGGAGGAGTCAGTGCTGTGAGGAGCTGCCCATGAGAAATCACCAAGGAGGTATGGAACTGTTACAATTAGATAACAACAGAGTCCAGACTGAGCCTAGTGCAAGAGTAGAGAACGAGGCAGGAGCGTGGCTGGCGGCGCTCACCTCGATGTGGCCGTTGAGCGCGGCGTGGTGCAGTGCCGTGCGCCCGCCGCGGTCCGACACGTTGACGCTGCTCAGCAGGGGGATCAGGATCTCAGCACACTTCACTGCCTTGTTGGCGGCTGCCACGTGCAGTGGGGTCTGCCAGTTCTTGTCGCGGGCGTTGACGTCGGCCGAGTGCTTGATGAGCACCTGCACGGCTTCCTGCAAGGGCAGCACAGCCACAGCCCTCAGCTCCAGCAAACGCACAGCGCTGTCCCGACAGCTCCGGCACCCAGCTGAGGGGGGCCAGCAGAGGCAACAACAGCCATCCCAACCACCTCCCAGCCTTGTGGAATGGCACTGTCCATTCCAATGGCCCAGCACACATCGCCTCTACTCTCAGTGAGAGCAGTAAAAAGGCCTCACAGTCAAAACTTGCTGGGTGGATTTGAACATGTCCTATGCAGACAGCCCATCCTGTTTGGTTGATTAACCATCAGTACCTCATAACTGTGCTTCCAGTGAAGAAATTAACTCACTTGAGCTATTCCTGCCATCACTGTTGGCCCAGCCTTGGCCAGCAGCTGGACAACCTGGAGCTGCCTGGCACTGGCTCTGTCCAACATGAAGAAGCTTCTCACAGACAACACCCCCACTACCCCACCCTTGCCACACAAACCCAACACACACTGCTACAAGGATCATCCACAAAATGAAAAGCATGTCAAAATAACAGCGAAGTGCTGCACATTTTATTCACAAACAAGAAAAAGGAGAAAATAAAGAAGAATGTGTGAAACCAAAACTTTAGCTTTTCAAAAACATGAGAATTCTGGTGTCCCCAGCTCAGTATTAGCATTCTTTTCCTCCCCAAGGCCTAAGCATAGGCCAAGGGTCTGGACTGCAATATCCATTCTGTCAGCCTGAGACCAAACATCTTTTAAGGTTAATTTTGTTGGTTAAAAGTAAATATTTCCCAGTGAGAAAATGTACTGTTCTCTCTTGAGAGCCTCTCTTGCTGGAGAACTCATAATCAGTTCATTTCTGCTTCTACTCATGCATATGACATTAAACAAGACAGACAAAAACTACACATTTTTCTCAAAATTGCATTTCTTTTCTTCTTCCTTTTTCTCCCCACAAACAAACAAAATACAGAGGAACTACTGGGACACAGTAGCATTCAAGCAGCCTTGTCTGATAAATACAACTCACATCTGGTATGTGGGAGAGCCCTAGTCCTACAGAGTAGCTTATTCTTTTTCCACAAACTGCACAGTTTTCTGTTAAGCCCAGCCAAAATTTTATTAATAAATAACAAACACATACTGTATGTTTACATAGTACTTTTATATCTAGAATGGCCCAGGAGAGTGCCTGCAGTCTGTATCAACACTACATATATACTGGGAGTTTTATGTCTTTGTCCTCAAATGATCTCAGCAGTTTCATTTTCTACAGCCATCTCACAAACTCTCCTCTAACAGATTTGTTCAGTGAGTGACACTGCACCAATAATGATATATGACTGTTGATGTCTCAATAGGATTTTGTTTTTTAAATTACTAGGCCTACTATTTTAAGAGTCATTTCAATGCAATTCACTGGAGACCTACGCAGCTGGGACACGAAGTCAGCAGGAAACTTCATGCACTCTTAGTGAAAGAAAAAAAAACGTTAAAGGAGAATTTTTAGAAGTAAATAATAAGGACTGAATATCCGAAGCTAAAAATACTTAGATTTTAAAATAAAAATATTTACATATTTTTGTTTACATCTGCAGTCTGCTGCTCTTTCAGATTTGGAATCAAAAGTTAAAATCCTAATGGAAAAGTTTTAATTCTATTGTTTTTAAAGCATGAGTTTTACCCTTTTATTATAGTTTCTCCCTATGCATGCAGTGCCCAGCTGTGGTGTAAGCCTCTGCAGTCATTGTCTCTAGCTATCCCAATTTAACAAATTGAAATCTCTAAACTTTTTTAAACTGTTTAGGGCTGAAAGCTGATATATCCATTAACAATCCTACACAGACACCCTAAGGGTTACTGATTTGTAAATAAACATAAATCCCTAAAGCCCCTGAAAATCATCAAGACATAAGTAAAGAAGAATCCATTCTTTTAACCAACATATAAAAGGATTCAAGGAGAACTTCTGAATCCTCTGAAATCTTCTAGTAAAAGATTGATAAAAAAATTTGTTGGTGATCATTCTAAAAACAACTGTGCTCACAAGAACTTCCAAAACTACACCAAGTCCTACTGGTCAGCTTCTGGACCACCAACTCATCTTCTATCAATGGGAACTCTGAATTCACCTACTGCTATCTATTGCTATCACCATCAAAGCTGCACATTTGCTCACTTGTGTAAGAAGGCAAAAAGCAGCACTGAATAAGCCTCAAAAATAATAAATCCTGTTTCCAAATTGTTACCAAAAGTAGCAATTCTAGTATAAATAATGAAGAAAAAATGGCGGGAGAAGAAAGCTGAATGTGTTTATGAAGTATACCATGAAGAGGGATGAAAGGCTGATGCCTTCCCCTGCCGCCTCACTAATGCCCCTGGGTACTCACTGAGAGGTACCAGAACTGCCAGCACACTTTCTCATTGTGCTTCAGCTGACAAAGAGTTAAAGATGAGACACAAAGCCAAAGAAAGACATACATTTTCTGCAAGGACTGTGGCTGATGATAAAATCATGTACTCTGACACATCCAAAACCAGAAACCAAGCACGCTGCAATTCCTGCATCAGCAAGACTGTGGCTGATTTTTAAGGTTTAAGTCTGATCTTTGTTTCCCAACATGGCTTTTTGTATTTTGCCTCATTACAGCATTCACAGTCTATCAGATATTCCTTTCAGAGGGTTCCAGGGGATGCCAGCAGCTGGGAAGCTCAGCCAGCAGCCTAACAATGCCCGAGTTCAGAAGCGAGCCCAGGATTCCTGCCTCCAGGCTTGGCAAGCGCTGGATTGTTACAGAGGTGATTCGAGTCCATCAGGCTCTGGAAGACAGCCACCCTCTGTCTGCTTCACAACCCCTCCCCTCATCCCCAGCAGCCAATTCAGCCTGCAGTTGGGCTCACTGGTAATGAAGTTTTGGGAGGGTGAAAGTAGACAGGGAGGTCCACAAAGGAAAGCCAAGAATAATGGTGCAGTTGGAAACAGAGTAATGCCCGAGCTACACTCCCAGTAGTTATTGCTGCTCCTTTTTAAGACAGCAATGGAAGGGGTACAACACGATCCCAGAATATTTCTATTTGTCGAGCAGAAGAAACATGGGCAAACCCTCCCTTCTGCATGAATCAAATGCATTAACAGAAAACCTAACGGATGCCTTGAGATGTAATTAACCAAAACAAATTATGTGGTAATGCATGTTGGATCACATCCACATCCACTCCCTTCTGGCACACACACAGCATGCACACACCCACAGGGATCCATTTCTCTTTTTTCACCACCTGAAGATAGTGTGGGCATTGTAGACCACTGTGGACTCTATCCCATGTGAGTCCTGCTCACTGCTCCCTGTGACTTGCTAGGGTAATGTAAGGCAAGGTGGGAATCAAGCACACGAAGGCTCAAGAGCAGCTACAGGTAACACGGAAACACTGACCTCCAGCTGCAAAGCCCTGCATGCAGGAAATGCCTTCCCTCTTTGCATGCCCATGCCACCCACCACGGCTCTGCAGGGTTTGCCCTTCCCCCAGCACATTGGTCATGTGCAAAAGCAGGGTAATCAAATCTTACTCACTTCACTTCTGGAAGCAACTGCTCGATGGAGAGGAGTCAGCCACATGTTGTCCTTGGCATTGACACGAGCTCCTGCAAGCAGACAGCAGAGGTTACAGGCATGCCTTGGGAGCCCTGCCCAGCTGCTTCCCAGTGACCAGAGCTGAGTACTCGGCACTCTCCGTGCTCCCCAGGACTCTCCTGGCACCATGCTCACCTTGAAAATGCATTAACAGATGTCAGATAGAAAAAGAGGGATTCAGAAAGAAAAGAACCAGCTAGATAGGACTATTGTTAGAAATTGCTTTGTTTACAGGACACGAAAGAAGCAAGGTTTGTTGGAAGGAATTACCTATGTATGCATGTACACATGTGTCTATGTGGATGTATTTTTTTAGATCAACTGATAGAGCTGGGGGGAAGAAAAGCACCCTTTGCTTAAAGCACTTTGCCATCTGCAGACATGAAAGGAACTAGCCTGAGCAACCACTTCTTGTTTCCAGCTTCATCAGGCAAACCACCAAAAAATAATCACTTCCCTGCTTCACAAATCCTGCTGGGATCAAGAATACAGGACCAGGAAATGCTCAGGTTGGAGACAGAACTGGGCACTGACTACATCAGGTTCTGTGGGTGTTCCTGGGCAAACAACAGAAGAGCAGGGATGAAGAACACAATTCATCTGCCTCCTCTGCAGTTCAGTGCTAACAGGTGCTCTGACAAGAGCAGCTGGGCAAGAGGATGGATTTGGGCTGGCTTGCCAGAAATAAGGATAAAGGAAGAATATTTGACAACCACAGTGGTCCTGACTGACTGCAAACCCCCAATTTTTTTTTTTTAAAGGTATCCCGTACATTTGTGTGATCAAAAAGATTTCTTTGCAAGAAATACTAAAGCTATTCACTGATGTGATACCTCAGGAAGGACATCTAGTCATAAGGATTAGAGAAACTCATTTTAAAAAGGGCTTAACCTGAAAATATAGTGCCTCACAGGTTTGCAGGCAGCAGCATTAGTCTGAGAAAGGTAGAACATTCAGAAAAAAATTAGAGAAGCACAGCCTGGGTGAGCCTCTGAACTTCATGAACAAAGGGATGCTGAAGCTTCATTTTGCACCATAACTTCAGTGCATTCAAAAGCTGTAATTAATAAATCCCACTCTCTGAATCACCAGTACTTTCTGAGAGCTGATTCTCAGGAATATTAAGATTCTTGCCTGTGAATCACAGTGGTTATTGGGAATCATTCTAGATAATCACAGAAGAAACAAGTTCTTGCATATTTCCACAAGTCAGGATGCCGTTTTTTGGCTGCAAGAAAAACAATTCCACTTTCATAGCTACTGCAACAATTAGAGGCAATCCTCCAAACTCACCTCAGAACCTGGTACCTGGTGGTACAACCTGCCCTCTGGAAAAACACACTTTGGAAAAGATACAGTGTCAAAGAGTTCTCTAATTAATCTGCCTAAGGAAGGAAGCTTTTGCCTTTTTTCTTTGTGAGGAGGCCATTACAGTTGACACATTAGCATCCTGCCCTTTGCCTGCACTGTGAGAGGCTCTAGAGACCAATAAAGCAATGACTTTCTTCACCATCAGGAAGCTGACAGGACTTCAAGGCACCTTCCATTATCCTGGTTTGGCCTGGTAGGGGTCTTGGAGATGGAAACTGCTTACATAAATTCCTTGTGATTGACAGCAATCTCTAAACTTTTTGGATTTAGAAATTGTTTTTGTATTTGCCTTGGGGGTTTTTGCCTTATGTTCTTAACTAAGGTTTCTTTTGTTTTATCTCTACCCATTCACTAACTCCTACAAGCAGAGGGTTACAAAAAAAAAAGGCTAATATGTAGAGTAGGAAAGCATGACCAAGATTATTCCTCAGTATTTAACAACTCCAGCAGCACTGGTGAGTACAAAGAAGATGAAAACCTAGAGAAGTATCTCCATCAGTAGCTATTCATGCCCTTCACTGATCCACTTACCCTTTGAGAAACTGAAACAGTTACCAAGAAAACTGAAGAAAACAGTAAAAGGAAAACAAGACCAGTGTAAATAAAATAATGCACAGCACACTATCAGCCTTTTCTTTCTCAGCTGTTTTACACATCCTTTTACCTCTTTGTGCCTCTTTATGTGAAACAGTGAAATTGCTCTTAGGTGTCTAATGCAGTGCATCAGCTGAATGTGTTTGTGATTTCTGTTTTTCAGGAGCTACACAATTCACCTGTTGCCTGCTACAGAACCTGCTCTTGTGCATTTACTGAGATGCACATCTTCTGAAGAGACGTTTCAAAACATTTCCTCTTGCACTGCCACTTCCTTCACCATAATTCAGCTTCTAGGTTCCCAGCAGTTCTTCGTAGGCAATGGTTAACAACAGTGAAAAAACTTCACCAGCACTGATGCACTCCTTTGGGGACAGAAAATATCTGTCATTTTAAGGATGATCAAGCAGAGGCACTGGGAGAACAATGCTCATGTTTTCAAAGGTGTCCTCTGCATTCCAGAAACTTGGGGGCCTATCCTGGGACGGCCCTTTGAAAGCAGAGTAACACAGAAATCCAGTTTTAAAGACTAAGTGCTCTAGAACATGCTACCACATCTAAAATGAGTGTACAAACACCAGAAGCTTAAATTCATGAGACCAACCCACAACACATCCTCCAAATCAACCAGAAATTCAGTGTCCCTCTCTTCACTCTGGACCAAGTACCTTAACGACGTCTCAGTGCACTTCCCTACAATACTTCATGAATTAATCTGTGTGTCTGTAAGGACAAAGAGGGCTGAAACCCACTCAAATTGGTGTAAATTGTGTCATTCATGGCACAATCTTCCTTGAAAATAGAAGCTGCTTTAAAGGTTTCACTTTAAATCCTTTCAGATAGCTACAGCACCCACCCATCCTATAAAATATCCACTTTACAAAAGAAGCTCTTCAGAGTAAAGCCTTTTCTCAACTTAACTTTCTCCACCATGCTCTTCCTGAGCCTGACAGAAAGACTTAGCTGTAGGGTTTGTGAGGCTGAAGTAGACAACATAACATATAATGTTACAGATAAAATCAACAGAGAGGAAACTTTCTGTATTCTACTTTTCTTTAATATGGATGTTTTGTAATCTTTGCCATTTTTCACTCTCAAATTTTTCTGCCAGAAGAGGAAATAAATCTGAAACTGCCTCTGTTCTTTTGAGATCTGAAATAAACAACTTGATGCGTGCTTTCAGGAATAAAGTTAACATCTCTTTATTATAACTAAAGTACACTTTTCTGTCCAGCACATCTGCCAAATCCACATCTCTAGATTCCACAGTCTGAATCTCCAATATTAGGGATAGTCAATGGAGGAAGAAAACTGTACTCTTTAACCTATTTATGTCATTATTTACTTGCACCTTTCCAATTTCTCCTGTAAGACACAGCAACTGGCCCACCAAAATGTAAGGACAGTTTCCTGGCAAGAAGCTCAGAGCCTTCTGAAGAGTAAAGCAAGGCAATATTGCCAAGACAGCAAGTGCCTTGGTGGGGAACAAGGGGTAAGGGGCAGAGCTCAAACATGATACTCTCAGGAACCAGCCCAAATGGGAATGCAGCTTTTATTTGCCCAGACAATTGTTCCTGCACGTCCATGACTGTGGCACCCACAGAGATTCCTTCTCTGAGATGGTTACCTCGCTCCTTCTCCTTTCTGACAGAAGGAAGTGAAGAAGTACTCAAAAAACCAAAACCCCTCAGCACCCTTCCCCAGTTGGAACCGGCTGATTATGGATCAGACCTTGGGGCAGGTGCAAACCCCTCTGGTTCTGACATTCAATGGGCCAGGGTGGCTCACACCAGCTGAGGGATCTGGCACTCTCCCTTCTGTACCAGTTCCAACAGAGTCCATTTCAGTGGCTACCTAGAAAGCCATTCCTGGTCTGTCTCCAGCCACCTGGGCAGAAATTTCATTCATTAGACGCTATATTTATTTGTGCCACCACCAGTTTATGGACCACAAATCTCAGAAGGTGTGTATTTAATTTAACTTCTCTCCTGAACAAAATGAAAAGTGCTGATACTGCTCCTAGCTTCTCCTCATGCTGAGAATATTGCTTGACACCAACAGCAAGTGTTTGTGTGCTTTCTCTCTGTGAAAACACCATTGCATTTAAAGTCAGACAACAAAGTTTTCCTGCTTATGTAACGGAATGTTATGTTCAGATTTATATTTTATGATACACTTTCACTACTAGCATTTGCTGACTGAAGAGGTGAAGCAAAGGAAGATGCTGTACCTGCCCTTGCAGCCTAGATAATGGAAGGATCACAGTCACAAAGAGGTGTTTATAACAAGTCATAAACCTGCTCCTTCAACTCTCAGAAACCTCCAAACCTGCTCTTGGATACAATACTCATGCTCATCACGAGTAATGATACTTCATATATTAAAGAACAATGAATAAGTAGAATACACAACACAAAATTAATTTTTACTCATGCTGAGCTAGTGGGGATAGGTCCACAGTCCCACTGACACAAAGTTCAATTTTTAAAAGCCCACTTTATAAGTTTTTCACACTTATTTGGATATATAAAAACTCCCCAAGATGCACCACCTACATTTTATGCTGTTGATCAGACAAACCTTATAACCCATGGATGACATTTTGGCAGTGAGGTGCTAGAACTAAGTGTTCCAGAGGAACTGTAGAAAGTCTTCTTCCCTCACCAGGAACATTCACTGGGACGTTTTTGGGAATGATGTTTGGGAAAAATGGGCAAAACTATTTCACATTTCTCTTGATGAGGATATTGCCTGTGCTGATGCTTGCAAAACTTGAAAAAACACATTGCTCCTGCAATCTCCTCACACCACAATGGAACAGCAGTATGTGACAAACAACACACACTGCAAGAACACATGGACAGATTAAATTTATTAACTCCTTCCTCCCAAGGAAGAAAATCATGCTTGCATTTAGCACATTGAAAACCCACCCAAGCATAATCTGTCAGCAGAGCACTGCTCTTTTCAACCATTCTGCTTCTGTCAGGGGTAGAGCAGGAAGAGCTGATGTATGGCCAGCTAGTTACCCTCACTAAGCAATTAAGCAACCCAGAATTTCCCCAAAATGAAGAGAGGAAACACAGCTACAGCAAAGTGAGTTCTCATTTTCTGCCTTCTCCAGGTCTGGCTAGAGTGGTGAGCCAAAGAAATACAATTGTGTGCTCTGCATGTACCCATCAACAGCCTGATCTGACTTTGAAATTCAGTGCTTTGAGCAGGAGGCTGGATCAGGTCATCTCTAGAAATATCTTCCAGCCTGAATTATTCTAGGATTCAAGGCTGGAAATTAGAAGGTGCCTTGTAATCAAAGGGCTGAGAATTCTGAAGTAACTTTAAAAAAATATATGGAATTCATTTGAAGAAGCTGTCTAAAAAATTGTGAAACCAACTGTGTAGCAAAGTTGCTTGCAAGGGGTTAGAAGTTTGTACCATAAGGTTCCTTTCAGTCCCACGTTCTTAAATCCTCATAAGCTTTACTCTTAGAGTTCTCCAGCTTAGAAAAACACTGCTTTGAAATCTGCCAGCACATCCAGGAGTTTGCCATGAATTATGCTCCCTTCTTGAGAGATGACTGCTTTATGCTTTGTTCTGACATATTTTGATCGTGTTTTCTGTCACTACAACAGTTGGGAAACTTTTATTTCTTTTGTTTAGATACTTCCTACTCTACAGTTTCTAATATCCAAATAAACTTCCTGATTCTTAGAAACATGCTTCTAATGTAAATAGCACTTACAACTCATTTAAGCTGATTAATAATTTTTTTGCTCTTATTCCATAATTTTTGCTTAACAGGAATTCTTGTACTCCAGGATATGAAGCCATATTTCAAATAAGTCCTTCAGCAAGTTTCTGACTCACAAATACTGTCAGTTTGAAGGCTTTATAAGTTGTTAAAAGTTACTTTGTTTATTAGTTCTGCTAAGTCACAGGGTGCTTTTTATGATTTTATCACCAAATTTAAATATATTTTCTAAGCTTGCAAGAAATGCAACAAGCTCTGTGAAACTCAGAAATAAACAATGCCCAAAACTCCCTCATGTATGTTTTGCTGTAGCTTTAAAATTAGCTGATTTACCAGTTAACAGCAGTGAGGGACTGTACCTTACCTGACAAAATGAGGAGCTCAATGATGTCTGCATCCCCCAGGAATGATGCAACATGAAGGGGCGTTCTTTTCTCGGCATCCTACAAAACCACAGATTGTCCAGTTATAAAACGTGATCAACAAGTGCAGCCATTGGTGTAAAAGAGCAAAGAATTTGTATCTTTTTTTTAATGTGCATTTCTGTTTGTAATTAGAAATGCAATCTCAGCCAGTGAAAGAATAAAATTCAAGAGCTCAACAACACTCTTCCTCCCAATAATCCTCTATTTTTTATCACTCATTTCCACCAGACCTTGCAGAGATATTGCCTTTACTCTGATATCCTGTTACAGGTAGATGAAATCAAAGCTAAAATGAGCAAAGACAGCATCTTTAGGTCTCTTTCAGAAACATTTTCCACTCTTAGGTATCACAGCAGCACAATCCAGATGCTTCTGGATATCAGACTTTGTAATGCACCTTGCATCAACAGTACAAAACCAGAGGCTTCAAAAGGATAACTCAGGAGAATTATTTGGAACTACACACAAGGCCAAGATACAAACTCTTCTTGGTCTACAAAGGTTCTTGTAGACCATAGGCTGGATACCTACAGCAGCCCAAGATGGGCATGTACATCTTGAATGACCTTTAAACATAAATAAAGTATTACCAGACAAATCTGTCTTTAAACTTATAAGAATTGCTAAGATACACACATATATATATACACACACACATATATATATTCGGAAGTTATATATATATATATATATATATATATATATATATATATAAATAACTTTTGAAGGATGCAGAGGTTTTTTTTATTTCTGTAATTTTCCAAATTAAGGAGTCCATTTCACAGGGTTTTTTTATTATTAATTCAAGGGATATAAATACAGTGTTCATAAAACCCCTTTATTTTACTGCTTTATTCAGCTGATTCCAGAACACAAGCCTTTAAAAGAAACTGCTAAATATTACAATATGGGCAAAAACAATCACAAGAACTGCTAATACTGCTCATTGTGCTGTTTCCAGCCCTAAATGTTATTTCATTTTTGTTTCTAAACCACAAAAATAAGTTCTAAAAGACCTTAGCAATCCAAATTATTGCAACTACTAGCGTTAAATATTTTAAACTGGTAACAAATTCAGCACTTCCTTCAAACAGTATCAACAGAGAAATCCTACCAATATTTACATCCTGTCCCTGAAAAAGATCTCTGAGCCTGTCATGAAAAACATCACTTTCAACATGCCCAAGCAATAATCAACCATGAGCTATTTTGGAATATCTTCAAAGTATGCTATAAATGTGGACAAATCTGTGTAGCCAAAACATTTGTCATGGGAATGTTGAAAATTGTTTTCCATCACTGAGAAGTACAGAGCATCACTGATCACCAGAACAGTTTATATTTAATTTTTGTGTTTGCATGGTTTTTTTAAACATACATCATGTACATAATCCTCAAATTCTGCTGCGTTGGGTTTTGATCTTAGGTATTGGGCATGCACATCAAACACTCAGAAAACTGAGTACATAAAACCCTGATTGTCACAGGTCAGAGAGGAAGATCTCTTACAGGCTTTCACTTTCTCACATGGTAAGCAAATCCAAAGAATATTAAGCAGTGTCCATGCAGCAGTGTTCCCTCAAGAACCAATATGACAAGTTACTCTCATATGCTTCATTCCTATCACCACAGAACAGCTTCTACAGGCTACATAAGTGTATGTGAGATCTTCCACAGCTTTCATATTCCCTGTCCTAAGGCTACTCATGGCAAAAAAAACATACTGACTGATCAACAGATATACAAAATAACGGTTTTATTTTTTCTTAGTTTGCTGTTATTAATGCATAAAGCTCTCTTTAGTACAACACAGAACTTGTAATAGCCATTGTACCTGTCAGTGCAACACAGCCAAGTTTGGCAAGGGCAGAGCACTTGGAACTTGAATGCTAATGGTACAAGGCCAAGCAATTTTCTGTATCATGGAACCAAGGCTACCCAGTGCTCTGTTGATTATAAGCAATTTTCTGTATTAAACTGTAAAACTGATGCAAATTTGATATTCTGAGGGAGGAAAGGACATGAAACAGAAAATTTTACTCTTCTGTAACTGGAAAACTAACTATGTAAGCCTTCTAAGCTTTCAGTTTTTAAAATCAATACAAAGCCCTATCATACTGAGTGTGAATCCAGTTTTCAGATAAAGATGGGTTACTCACAAAACTGAATTTAAGCTTCATTTCTCCAAGAGGAAAAAAAACCCTGAAATTTATCCATTTATCACAAACAGGCACAAATCAGCCTTGACTTGCACACAGGCAACATTTTAAGGAGTTTGGCAGGGAGAAACCCACACACTACTCCTGCAGCCAAGCAGGCAGTGAACAACTCACTGGAGAACATCCCTGAGCTCCTGGTCAGACTGTGCACAGTGAACAGCTCCCTGGAGAACATCCCTGAGCTCCTGGTCAGACTGTGCACAGTGAACAGCTCCCTGGAGAACATCCCTGAGCTCCTGGTTGGATTGTGCACAGTGAACAGCTCACTGGAGAACATCCCTGAGCTCCTGGTTGGATTGTGCACAGTGAACAGCTCACTGGAGAACATCCCTGAGCTCCTGGTCAGAGTGTGCACAGTGAACAGCTCACTGAGAATATCCCTGAGCTCCTGGTCAGACTGTGCACAGCACTGGTACCCCAACAGAGGAACTGAGGCTTCTGTCTGTCTGTCCCAGCACAGCCATGTGTCCCCTCAGAGCCCTGGTCCCTCACAGCCACAGCTCCTCACTGTCTGGCTCAGCACCCAGCACCCCAACACTCATCCAACTCCAGCTCCTCATCTTGTGCTGCTGGGAACAGGAGCACAAAAGTGAATCCATAATGATCTAAACACTGGAGGCTACACAGAGAGAGAGGGATAAAAATTGTCCTTTCAAGGAAAGGCTTGGCAGAACCCCAAACCTCAACATACATTATCAAGGCAAGGAAAATAAGTGAAGGGAAGAGATGATAACAGGATTACAAAAAGCATTAAGAGAAATAAACAGACCTGCTTCCAGTGCAGTTCTCAGAAGAATAAAAGGTCAGCAAGAGACAGTAGATAAGCTATAAACAATGGCTAGAAAATCACACTGAGATGAGATAAACTCTCTTTCTAGTACCTGAAGGGGGCCTACAAGAGAGCTGGAGAAGGACTTTTCACAAGGGAGTGTAGTGATAGGACAAGGGGAAATGGCTTCAAGCTGAAAGAGGGCAGGTGTAGATTAGATATTGAGAATAAATTCTTTACTGTGCAAGTGCTGAGGTGCTGTCACAGGCTGTCCAGAGAAGCTGTGGATGCCCTGTCCCTGGAAGTGTCCAGGGCCAGGCTGGACGGAGCTTTGAGCAACCTGGTCTAGTGGAAGGTGAAAGGTGTCCCTCATGGCAGGAGTTGGGAATGAGATGATCTTTAATGTCACCTCCAACCCAGAGCATTCTGTGATTCTATTAAACTGCATTAGTAGCCTATGCTAGTTCAAGATGATGCTGCAGGTTAACATTATCTGTACACCTTTTTTAAAAATAATACAGATAAAAGAAACTAAGAATCTAACAGCCAGGCAATCAGGAACAGAAGGCCTCAGCAAGAAAAACACTCAACACTTGCTTAAAACTGTTCAAGTGATCACAGTGGCATGGATAAGGCCCTCACAGGCTTAAAGTTAGACTAGTCCTTAAGTGCTCTATTGGATCAGAGCCGGGGTACATGAAGATTAGCAGAACAGTGAGCTGAATGAATCATATCAGCACATGTAAAATTATCAGGCACGTTAAGGAAAGGCACATACATTTTCTCCTCAACACAGCCTACATGTCAAAGGAGATAACAGATTTGAATTTTGTTATCAACTGCAACTGCTCAGATCAGGTGATGCTTGGGACAGAGTTACTTACTATTAAAATGTAAGTGCAACTGCTGCAGAAAATAAATGTAACCTTTCTTTGTCACCAAACTGACTGAGCAGCTAACAGGAATAGTTGGAGTTTACAGGAGTTTAATCCACCATAGAAACAGAGTTACTGAAGCCTTTGCATTCCCACCACCTTCAAAATGTGTCTGGGTGGCAGAATAAAGCACATTAATTAATATAACTTCCACTGATCAACGCCAACTAAAATAGTGACAGAAACAAACCTCCTGCTCATTCACTCTATTTACAATTGTATACCTCATTTAAATAGCACAGCCATTAAAAAAAAATTTCAGATACAAGTTAACTTCAGAAAAATTCAATATTGGGAACTGTTAGGAACTACAGAAGAGGCTAAAAGCTCATGAGCACCTATTTCTTGGGCTATTTACAACTGTTTGGAGCCAAAAGCTGATGGTGTACCAAGAAAATCTCTGCTGCTTCAAAGATTTCCTCCTCGTCACACATTCTTTTATTAAAGCCTGTAATTCACAGAGTAAATCAAAGTGTTTGACTGTGAGCACCACAGGTGAAAGTCAAGCTGCATAACTTATACTTTGTGCTCTTTCTTCTGCATCATAACAGAAATTCCCATCTGAAAATGCAGATCCTCATTCCAGCACCTCTCATCCCACAGTCTTCAGCTCAGCCTCAGAAATAAAGATTTTTCTGAACTGAGTCTTAAATTGCCAAGTGTTCATGAAGCAGAAGAGGCAAATACTTTGATCTTGCAGAACAAGAAAAATTATCTTTCTTCTCCCCCCTTATCTAGCAATTTCCTTCCATGAGGCTGACTGACTTTTATGCTAGAAAAGCATAACTTCAAAAACTAATTACTAATTCCAGATTGAGACCACAGAAACTGTTATCCTAAAGAATGAAAATATTTTGATATTTTGATTACTGATGTTCACTGTAAGACTCAAAAGATAGACTTGAACAACTCCTCCACTTTCATAAGCACAGTATTGACTTTGGATAGGGGGTGTTAAGGCATGGTAGCACACATCATGCAGGATGGGAAAAGATTTAGAAAATTCAAGTATTTCAGGCTGATATTGCTGCCTTTGAAGACAATAATGCAGTCACAGCCAAACCCTGCCATGAGACTTTAATGGTCTATACATCCTAAACTGCCTCAAACTGATGAGATGAGTCACCAGCACAGATATATATATATATAACATAGTAACCATTACTACACTACCACCCTGTTGCAATGCAACCCAGAATATTTCAGACTCTCAGGCTCTCCAGTAGAATCTTCTTCACAGTTCAAAAATTTTCTGTATAAAGTATTCAAAAACATCTAAGCAAAAAAAAAAAAAAAAATCATCTAAACAGAAGTCATGCTAGCTACCTTGCATTGAGAACATCAGTGTAATTTCATATTCAATTTTGGTACATAATGGAGAATTGTTCATAATTTCTGTAGGAAAAAAATTCTGCATCACTTCCTACTTAAATAAACAGCATATTAAACAGCACACTAGAGGCTAAATACCCTCTTCAGCTATCCCAAACATGCAAAGCCTTTCAGACTCACAACCCTAAATAGGTGCCTATTTGTACCCTCAAGCACTCACAGCACCTCCAGAAACATGCTTGGCAATAAGTAGTACAGGAATATACAGAAATTGTGTGCATGTGGGAAGACCTGGAATGAGCCTGGATCCTCCTGACAAAGGCAGCCCTGCAGATCTATGCCTCTCCAAGCAGGATAATGAGGAGAAAAGTCGTGAACTGCACACATACATGTGTCTCCATAATGACGTCCTTCCTTCCCTCTTTATCTCATCATAAACCACCCCCTAAATACCTGGTCCTGCATGTATGACCCTGCAATCTCTGCAGCTAGAAGCAGGGTTCCATCCAAGAAAAAACACAGCATTAGGGGATAAAAAATAAAAATAGATAACTAAATGACTTGAAAACAACCCATCACTTTTGGGGAAGAATACTGGAAGTATTTTTTTGACTTGGGATATTTTGAAGAGAAACTGAACTGAAAGACTGAGTTAAAAATGGAAATTTCACAGAGAGGATTTTGGTTTATAACATTGCACACGACAACTGGACTTTGCAGTGTAAGGTGCTGCACAGTTCATGTATTATGAATCCCAAATAAGAAGGAGTGACACCTGGATCCAGATTAGTCCCTAGATTCTGGGGGTCATTCTCACTCTTCCCTGAGTAAAAAGAGCACTCCAAAATATCCCTCTCTACATACACATAGCATTGCAATGTACCAAACAGCAAGTGTAGAAGAGTCTACCTGCAACTCATCTGGTGGTCTGGATTGCCCAAGTGACATCACAAATGTCCTGGGAAAACAGGCTGCTGAATGCTGCCCACACTTCCCATGGGCACAGTGTGTACTCAGAACCCAGGGGAGGGAATTGCACATTGCCAGCTAAATATAACAGGGTCCATGCCCTCAGGATGCACAGGTGGCATCACGTAGAGCACAGGTAGGGACTGGTGAGTCAAAGTGACAATTATAGTGGCAGAATGAATTGAAACCACACTTGTAATCCAAAGAGATTTCACTTTATTTAAAGTCACAATTACAGCAGTATCCAGAATGTAGCCATTTCCATCAACAAACAAGTCCTTGGTTTGGGAAGTTACTAATTATTTTACCAGACCAAAAAAAAAAAAAAAATCTTTTAAACTTCTGGTTTCCTCCAAACTCTTTCCTGAGATTAATTTTCTCTTGGGACGTCTGCACATGCATTCCTAATTTTGTGTTGTTCCTCTATGCACTTGACAATACTTCTCTTAATGGAGATAAAAAATACCCTGATGCTTTAAAACTGCAGAAATACCCAAACCTTACTGCAAAACCACACTTCTACTTTGTATCCCTGTCCTACCTATATTTGAATTATTCCAGTGTTAACAGAGCCAACCAAAATGATCAACAAAGGACAAATCTCTGCCAAATGCTGTCAGAGTTTCCTCTCATGTGAGCAACCAAACGCTAACGTGGAAGTAATTAAAAACACCCTTAAAATAGAAACAGAAGCATGGAATGCAAATTGCCAGCTCACAGCACAATGAGGGGGAAATCTTTTCATCTTTCTGCAGTGATATTTTAAGCAATTGACACTTCCCTGCAGTCACTATTCAGAACACAACTTTCAGAGATTGTGTTGACCGGTATCTTTCAGATTATTTCAAAGAACAGCTTTGAGTTTTGCTCCTGAGGAGGCAAAGCATTCCTGGGTGGATTTTGAGCATTGTAAGCAGTATTCTGGGCAAAACCATTCAATGACTTTTTCTATTAAGTATGATGGGACTCATCTGCAAAACACGTGTTCTTCATCTAATCTTGCACCTGACAGCTGAGAGCATCTCCCTAGCAACCATCACTAACACACTTGCAGCCAAAAGTTGGAAAAACATTGGAGAAATACACGATAATCTCGTACAGGAAATGTGGCTTTGAAAATCCAGCATGAAATACAGATGAAATTTGGGGACTGTGGTGCTCATCTACCTTGCCAAGGGGGTTTTGTTTGGCTGGGTTTGGTTTTTTCTTTAAAATCATCAGCAAGAAACAAAGGAGGAGGAAATTTGAGGGAGATGATTCTTTAAGGAAGCACTTTTGGGAACTTGCAGGAAAACAATCAGGCACTGATAATCATGAGGAAAGCTTAACACCAAGGTCTTGGATCAGATTTAAAACAGTGGCATATCTTTCCTTCTACTGGAGAGCAAACAGGGTGGAACCCCAGCCAACCAGACCTGTAGGATCACCTCTCTAGCTCCTTTTGGTAGCTCTGAACCAGACTGTTGGACCCCACTACCCACAAAAGCTGCAGTGCCAAGACCATACCAGGCCAACTGCTGGAGTTAGCAATGAATAAACTGATGGCTTTACATCACAGAAAAGCATGAAGAAAAGGAAGGTTGATTCAAAAGTCCAGGAAACACCTGGAAATTATCATTCTGCTGCTGCTTTATATTCTCACCACCTTGAGAGGCCACAGATTGTAGTCAGGACCAGCAGGGCTTGTTTCTATCAGTAAGGATATAAGTTAAAATCAAAGAAGGGGAAAAAACCCACCCCAATTTCTGCAAAAAAGACCAAGCTGACTTGGAGATGCTTTTTTCACTGCCAAAGCACTCAACTACTACTTGTTTACAGCTGCTTACCATTCTGGCTAGAATAAGTCAATCTGCAAAACAGTAATTCCTTTGTGGGCAAATTGTGGCCAAGATTCTGCTTCTTTACTCTCACTACTGAGAATTATATTGGAGCTTTAGTTCAAGTAGAGTCAAATGCATAACAGCTCCTGATCTGCAAATACTCTTTATAAAAGGAAGCCCTACAGAGAGTAAAAATATGTAATTTTCAGCTGTTTTCATTCATTTTCTCAGTAAGAGAAAAAACAATGTCCCTGACTGACCTGCACATTTGGAATAATTACCATACACTTAAAAAATTTAAAGTCATCTGCTGGAGACAATGACATTGACTCCTACTTAGGATAGCACTGAAGCCCCAAATCTCTCACTTCCCAATCATTTCCATTCTGTTATTTGTCAATTACTGAGGACATTTTTAATACTGTCATTGCCACAGGTATGGTGCACAACATGCCAGTCACATACCAAGGCGTTGACATCCTCAGTTTTGTAGATCAGCATCCGTATCTCTTCTGGATCACCACTGAAAATCGCCTGGACCAGTGGAGGCTGCAAAAAGAAAACAGAAGCAGAAGCATTACAGGTTTGTTTATTTTCTGTTTAAACTGAGTGCATTTTACTCCTGCTAAATCTGCCCAGAGACATGGTGTGACCCCAGTCCCAAATCACCAGGAGCATCTCATCAGTAAGAGCTACCAGCTTGCTTGAGGATAAACTGAAATCATGAGCATGTTTGTACCTATAATGAGCATGTGTGTGCACAAACAGGGACCCACATTAGAACAGCAACTTTTGTCAACAACACACAATTAGCCCAGATGTTCTGCCTGGCATGTAAGGCGAAAACTAATTACATCAGATAGTGCTGCATGCTTGCACTTGGCACAGATGAATGGCCATGCCATACACATTTAGAAACAGAACATTATGCAGATAATGAATTTCTGGGCAATCACTAAACAACTTGTATTTTTTTCCCCAAATAAATACGCCATGAGCGCAGTTAATTTTAACCACCCAAGAAGCGAAGTAATTATCTTATTGTCTCAAGTCTGTTATTATGCTATTATGAATGGGAATGCAGAAATAAATAACCAGGCCCACAGGAGAAACAATGTGCCATGCTCGCTGCTCTCCGAGGCTGGCGTCACTCCGGGCAGGGGAGGGAGCGCTGCCACACTCAGAGCTGGTCACTTCAGCCCTTCCGACCACCTTGGCAGCAACATCTGAGCTAGCAAGCAAGCTGGCAGCACACTGGACTAAAAGAAGAAGAACTGTGCTGCTGGAGACTCGGGAAAAGAAGGGACAATTCACAAAGATACCTATCCCATAACTGAAACACGCCCCGCTTTCACCAGCACCCTCCTGAAGACAGCGTGTGCCCCCCAAGTCTCACTCCTGGTTGCCTCATGGTGCTACTGGCAAAAAGGAGTTTGTGGTGCCATGCAATCACCAGAACCTAAAATAATCCTGTAAAATGGCAGCATGCATGACTACTTAAGCACATAGAACTGCAACAGTTCTTGAGATTCTACAGAATTTAACTGTCTTGTAAACAGGCTATCTCAAAACGCACAAAACAGGCTGAAAGAACAAAGTAAATACCATTTCCTCCCTATCTTTTCTTATCCAAATGTGGAAAATACATTTCTAAGTTAATGGTGTCTATTTTAAGACATATTAATCCCTTATGTCCTTGAGAAACATTCATACCAGAATTTCATTCTTGCCACTCCTCTAAAAGTGGAAAGGACTAAAGCAGCATCTTTCATCACCATTGTCTATGTCTTACATATTGCAGTGGATGCGCGAAAAAGGAAGGGAAAAAATTGCATTTCACTTGAACCATTTAGCATGCTCCTTTCCCAGCCATGTCAGAATGGGCAGAGAATATTTCCCAACAGGGAATGAAAACACCAGACTCTTCTCTCCTAAAATTAACAGCTATGAAGAATCAGTGAATGTTTATGAAATTATTATGCTTGCATCAAAATATTTGCATTTTCTATGCTTTTATCATAATATTTAAATTTTTAAAAAATCAGCAGGAAAGCAGAGAACTCCTCAATTACAAGCTGAATGGCAATCACAATCCAGTAGCCAAGGAACAAATACCCCCAGCATCTTAGATTATTTCCTGAATCCATTTGCTGGTATGCTCAGCACCCAATGAAAAGTATCAGCCAGAATCTGGTGACATTTAAGGTGAGACCTCAGACAGAGGTAAGAGAAAAAAACTCAAAATTCAAATCTATTATATTTAAAAGAAAAAAAAGCAACCGAGTTCAAGTGCTGTTACAGGTAACATTTTTCTTTTTAAAAAGGAGGAAGTACTGTGCATCATGACATTTATAAAAAAAGGAAGGTCTAAAATAAGGCACTTTGACCCTTCTTCCCTCTGCCAAAAATCTGAATCAAATCCTTGGTTTTACAGGAAATGTTTGACCTTTCTAATTAGCATCAGCCACTTTACACAGAAAGCAGATTGAGAATATCATGGTGGCTTTCAGACCTGTGACACACAGAAGACCCTCATCTCAATTTTTGTCCACCATACCATGGTCACATCTACCTGCAGTTCCTTGATCAAACCCCAGTGTTCATTCTGCCTCTGAAGCAGGGTGTAACTCACCACTGACACATGTAACCTTTGCTGACAGGACAAAGTTGCCATATACACATTTCAAAGGCCTCATCCTTCAGACCTTTTCCCCCTGTAAGATTTAATTTTTATAAATTAATCACGATAAAATCTATCTCTGATAGCTGTAGCAGCAAGACACAGAGATAATGGAGAATGATCAGAGCCTGGAAACTGGAAAGAGGAGATAAAAATGATCAGAGCCTGAAAACTGGCAAGAGGAGATAAAACCAGTACAGGTTAATAACCATCTTGAGTCACTGCTGTGCAGTCTGCTTCAGCTGGCCATTTTTCTAATTCACTATGTCATTATTTTACTTTATTTTCAAAGGTACTCATTTTGAAATGAGAACGTATTCTTTATTGTTGAGGCAATTTTGTTACATATCAAGACCCATTTCAGTGTAAGATGTGCAGTCAGGTATAATGACCTGCCCAGGAAATCCATGCCAGAACTATGTTGCAGCTTCACTGCTCAGTCTGAGGTCAGAGCTGAAAAGATGCACCCACATCCATCAGCACAATGGAAAAAGTATTGCTGCATTCAGCAGCTGACAGGGATGGAACGGGGCTTGTGCAGTTACACACACATTGATGATGAACAGATTACTTTCTGATCTTCAGTGATAACTATATTCATGCATCAATGACTTCAAATGGCTTTTTTTAAAATTTTGATTCCTGAAGGGTAAATAATTTTCCTTTCTAATTATTAAAGGATAGTATATTTTTGGAAATTATTTCTAAAACTTGTGACATCATTAATAGGTTATTTCATTAACAGACATATTTTGCTTTAAAAGTCTTCAAATTGTTAAGAAGTTGTTAAACTCTTATAATAAAGGGGGGAAAAAAGCACAAGCAGAGAGCAGATTATATATAACTATTATTAGAATTAAGCAAGGGTGCAGGGTTTTGGAATGATGAACAACTGTTTCATCAGCTCAGCTCTCTGTAGCTTCCAATTTCTTAAGGAGAATTTCAGTTGGGAGTGTTCACATTTTTTCCTGAAAATAAACTCCAGCAGCTAACAAAAACCTTTCCATGCTACTTTTTCTACAGTTACAATGATAAGTATGAAACTTACCAACAAGTTTTATTAGAGGCTTCTTTACTTTGTGCTGAAACAAGCACTTTAGTAAAAAATAAATTGTGTCTGCAGACACCTTCCAGAGTTGCAACACATTCCTATCTTTACTGCATGCAGGGCAATCAAGCTGGACTTCAACCCACCAGGTAAAATTAACTTGTTGAACTGAAGGCACAGTGATTTTTTCAGCAACAGAATTTAAACCCACATGGAAGAATGTCCTGTGGCTCAGCTGGATTCCACAGATAAGCTGTTCCAAGAAAAAAGTGCAACACTGGAAATTGTCCTCCATAGACCTGACTGCCACCAAGGGGCATTGGCAAGTCTCTGACTCCAGAGGAGATGAAGCATGTAAGGGGACTGTCTCAAGCATAATTTTAACTACTATGTCCAAAGCAGGTGCTGAACCTGCTAGCAAACTTTGCATTTTTGTTGAGTAGCTAGTAACTGTGACATACTGAACATTTTGCCTTGATTTTACATATCCTGACTCACTGACCCCGATTTATTTAAGCCAGATATTTGTTTGACAGGAGGCAGAGGCTGATAGGGAAAGGATGATTGACTCTCATGCCCATTTGATCTCACAGACTATCATTTGCTCCTTGGAGTGAAAAGAAGCTACATTTTGATCCTTTATTACTTCTAATTGCCTTACATCAAGTTCCTGGACTAAACACTTGGATATATCCATGTATTCATGTAACCAGCAAGGCAATGTAGCAAGACACACAATCATTTCAGAGTGGTATTGATGCTGAGTGTTTAGCCAAACACCTCTGTTTTTTCTGAAGGTACCCCCACTAATCAAGATTACAAGGTTGTCTGCTATGCCACATCACATACACCTATTTCCTTCCATTGGCCAAAGCAAGGAGGCTACTCCTCTCCCTAATTTTAGTTTAGGACTTTTTCCCTCTGCACATACAGCACATGAATACCTGAAATGCAGTTTTTACTTTCAAGTCTGTATTACTGAACAGCCATTAATTGGATTTCTCTTAATTCTTAGAGCGCATTTCCCTGATGCTTAGTATTTATACAGTTCCATGTACAGAAATCACTCAATACTGATAATTTTCAATAGGTTTTGTAATCTAGTTCCCTTGCATAAGGGGTTAGCCTTTTACTGTGTTTTAGGAATGAATTGCTGGGTAAACACCAAAACAGTTTGCTCTTAATTTGTTAATTCAAAGGATGCAATCCTGTTGTAGGAATTTCCATATACACTTCTGCCAACAAAGTACTTTCACAGAGCTGGTATTTGGAGAAGAATGCCCTTGGATGGCTGCTAAGAGGTATTATATAGCAATTACAGATCTTTACTAAGTGACTTAAGGAATACTTGTCCAAGCAGCTGAAAAGCCAGCGGAGAGAATCAAATCTGTAGATTGAGTGCACTTGTTCCCTGGAATCACTGTGACAAACTAACAGCACTGTTAAGTGAGCAAATGCACTTAGGACATTTATACTGAGCAGATCAATAAATACCCTCTACACTGCAACATTTCAAATGTGGCAGAAAAAAAAAGTTCAATTAATTTAATTCTATCTTATTATGTCCTTCCATTTATTGCAGACTAGCCCAGTGATTTAAGGATTGCACATCAATCCTCTGCATCAAGGACAGCATGCAATCCTACACATTGCTATTTATTTCAATTTGTTCCACTGTGTTTGAATGCTCAAGGACCAACAAACTTATATGACACTCAGAGGTATTCAAAAAAATATGATCCAACACTCCCAAAACTAGAAAAAAATCTCTGTGTGGCAGAGGCACTTCCAAGCTGGGAGATGTTCATGTTGTTTTTAGGC